GGCCTGCCATAGTTAAGTCCAACTTAAATTTGATCTTAGTCTTTGTGAAACACCCCCTTATGCCATCAAAGAGAAATCCAACCTTAGCTAGAGAGGCAGACTCGTGAGCGGACAGAGAGTAAGAAAATTATGCAATTTTCAAAGTTGTAATCGCCATACGTATGGGAATTTCAAATAGGCTAGGCCGAAAATGTTATTGTGATGAATTTTCTGACAGTTTTTCGTTTTGTTCCAACACTCAAAATGACATAAATATTAATTATTCAACTCTGAAGGTCCTTTTATTTTTGGAGGGCCTATACAAGTATGCTATCCATAAAACATGTGTCGATGTTCCTCAAGGGAGAAGACGCTTCGGAGAGAAAAAAAGAAGAAATTAATTATATTTGCAGATAATAAACGGGCGAGATGCCAGTGACTACGTCATAACCGCGTTGCCAATCTTAAATTCGGCTGTTGACCGCGTCATATCTGAAAAACCTTTGATAAATTGTAATTAGCTTCAATTTCATCAGACAAAACATACTTTCTGATTTGATTTGTTCGTGAAATAATGATATTTTTCATCAGATGTAGGTATGAATTCATTGTCAAATATCATAAACAATTACCTTAAGATGCATTTACGCAAGATGGTTAAAGTATTTCACTAAAATCTGCTTAATCGGTTGGTAAACTGGACATTTATTCTTAGCTTCTCTCGATCTCATTGTGTATGTATCATATTCTATTTACTATAATTATTAGTAGTAGTATTATCATTTATTATTGTTATAATAATTATAATTATTATTATTGTTCTCATTATTATTTTATTTCTTTGTTTATTTCTTTGTTTATTTGTTTATTTTTATTATTATTATTATTATTATTATTATTATTATTATTTATTTATTTATTTTTATTTTTATTTTATTTATTTATTTTTTATTTTATTTTTTAAAAATATTTATTTATTTATTTATTTATTTATTTATTTATTTATTTATTTATTTATATATATATATATATATATATATATATATATTTTTTTTTTGGGGGGGTATTTTACATAATTGTTATAGCCGGGTGTTTCAATGGTTTACATGCCATGTTTTAATAACCAGGGAATCTAAGGTTAAAAATTAACAGCCTTGTCAATCACCTTTCCAAACGTGCAAATATCCGAATATGACTTCGATGTGATATACAATAGGGTATTGAAATTGCCCTCGAGTAAAGTTGTCAAAATGAGTTGCAATCGTGTGATCTATAAAGTACAAAAATCATTTCAACATATCGCCATTTCACCTTGTTTTGATCCTCATCTCTGCACGTTCAAAATTACTGAAATTAAGAAAGAAATTTGTGTTTAGATTGACCCTATAGCATTATACAGGAAAAAATGAAATATCAAATAACATGGAACCCACTTCTCGGGACCTGCATGTTTGACAAAAATCTGGAAATCGAATTTCCTTGTCTTAAGATGCACTAAGGTATATATAAATGATCTTTAGACGGCTGATTGAAACAAGCAAATGGATGAAGCTTGCAATACATGTATCACACTTTAAGTTGGGGGGAAATTAGACATTTTGCAGATTTCATTTGATTTCTAATTATGAAATGAAGTCTCCCTTACTTGGAGGCGCCTCTTTCAGCAACTGCTGATTTGCTCTCGACCTTCGAGACTCATTTGCGTGGTGCAATGTGAAATATATCACAACGACCCATTTCTATCACCTAGCTTTATCAACTGTTCTATGCTGGAACGCTGCTAGAGCTGCCTGTGTGTGTGTGTGTGTGTGGGTGTGAGGGAGGGGGCTGAGTGGTGTAATTGTAGGGGTGTGTGTACATGATTGTGTGTGGATGGGGGACATCATATTCTACCGATAATCCACGAAAACCAAATGTCGAATTATTTTCTCGTGGATTTCCTAAAGGTGCTGCGCGTATCCATTTTTCTTTTTTGTTTGTTTTTGTCGGGGGGGGGGGGGGTGGGGAGGAGACTTTGGCCAAGTGAGGTGTAGCCATGTGAGTGTAGCCTATTTTTGGATGCCAGTGCGTGTATGGATGGGGGGGGGGGGAGGGGAGGGGGCTAGGTAGAGGTGTGACACAGTCAAAGTTCTGTCGGAAATTTGAATGATTTGTCATTGCCTATGGAGGAAGGGGCGATGGCGAAACATTCGAGGAAACTTTACAGCGACCTAGCGGGGAAGGGCCCACGCGGGCATATTACTCCGTCTCCGAAGAAGATTTGGCACTTTGCAAACTTGAAATTTTGCAATCTAGCAATTTGCCAGGTTCAATAGAGACCACGACCACGTGAGGACGATCTGCATTTTGTAGTGTGAGACTTTGCATTCTAGAACTGCACTATACCTGAACATTGAATTGTAATCCCTTATTCATTATGTTATGAATTTAGGGAGCATTATTATTTTATCAATTTTTTTCCGAAGAAGAGCACTTTTTGAAAATTTTCGCGGGGGGGGGGGGGGGGGAATTCTCATCGGTACCAACCATGACATATTTTGCTAATAAACACTTTTCATTCTAAATTACTTTCAAATATCAAAGGCAAATGACAGCGTATGTACCCGACGGAAATCACGTTTTCATGCCGCTTTTAGAGCTTCTTATCCATCATTTTCACATCCCTTCGAATCATTACTCCGATTTGTATATTTTTAAGTTGAACTGCAAGCTCTTTCGAGTCAGAGAGAGAGAGAGAAATAACCGAAAGAGAATTCATTTTTGTTGAGATAAAAAGAAATAAAGTGTATTAAAACAATGCGCTATTGAAGGGCCTCGGAGCTCAGAACGTTTCACAAACTTGACATATTCATTTGATATATCAACCGTTAACTTATTGTGCAATCTTTCAAAGTTTTACGGGTCCTCGGGAGAGCCGCTCCTGGGCGCGTGACATTTAAAAGGAAGCTAAAATCATCAAGAGTAAGTGTCACGTCTTCTAAAATAGTTTCTTTAACCTCAATCATATCTTTTAACAAAATGGACATCACTTGCAGGTGACAATGACGATGACGATGAGGAACATGGTGACGTAGATTGTCCTATTTCAAGATCCAGCCCTGGGGAATAAGGTCAACGACAAGAATAACGATCATACATCTTTCCTTGATGTTTATATTGCCTATATAGTAGATATACTGTCCAAGCGCAGTTATAGGATATTTATTGGAGGTGGGAGCTTGGGGCGCTTTGCATGCGGGGGTGGGGGGGGGGGGGGCTTGCGATTTTTTCATTCATTTTGTACACTAGCCCCTCTCAACGCTTTGTGGCTTGTAAAGCTCTTTATTGTTGTCAATTGTAAATGTTTCGCCACGGTTTATCAGTGCCTGTGGTTGTGTGGTAAATCCGTGAAACGGAGATGGTCAAATGCCGGTGAGTGTCTCTAAAACAGGTCGTATCAGCCATTTGCAGAAATCGCTAAAACATTTCGTTGAACGAAAATGACTAGAAAATGAGATTAACAAGAACAAAAGTTTTAAAATTGTTTTAAAACATTTTCCCATTATATATCCACTGTGCTACACTAATCTCTTGGTGTTCTTAGTGTAGGATGTCAAGCATTTTATGACAACACATCACTATAATTTTCGAGATGTAGGCCCTATTAATGGTCGAGTTAAACCAGCCTTTTCTGAAAACATGTGTCGATGAATACCCGCGCTAAAGACAAGTTGAAAATACATGATTTAAAAAAATGAATAACACAACTACATGTACTCTCATACACAATATTTCAAAAGAATGACTGACATAGCTTATTTCCCACCCCCTTTTTTAAAACAAACATTCCCTTATGGTCGACCAATGTCGTAAGAACTTTTAAAAAGCTCAGGACTTGATAAATTGACGGTTTTAGCCAGACGATAACTAATGGTTTTTATAACCTTTTATAAAGAATTCTTGAAGGGAATTTCCCGTCGTTCGTCCCACTACAGGTAACGTCATTAGGAGGCCATAAATCATGGTCAACAACCAAAACACTTCTAAAATGATCCCCCGGTAAAGGTATACGCGAGGAGGAGCGATGGTCAAATCGGAACAGGGGGCGGAGAGAAATAATTTTGAATAGGGGAAGGGGAAAGGGAAGGGGGAAGGGGGAAGGGAAGGAATGGAGGGGGTTGTCATAAGTCAGAGTTCTCAAAGTAGTTGATTTTTAATCTAATTGTTTGTTATCATCATCTGTAAACGAGGTAAGTTCACCATTGGTAAAACCATGGACCTGTTGAAAACGCGACTGACATCAGAGTATCAGCTATCCTAACCGGCAGATCTAAACTGGGGAGAAAAGTAAACAAGCTCAACAAAATAAATTGGGCTAATCTTTTACGAGCTTAACTCAGACGGTAGTGTAATCAGTATTAGTAGTAGTAGTAGTAGTAGTAGTAGTAGTAGTAGCAGTAGTAGTAGTAGTAGTAGTAGTAGTAGTAGTAGTAGTAGTAGTAGTACTAGAAGAAGTAGTAGTAGAAGAAGTAGTAATAGTAGTAGTAGTAGTAGTAGTAGTAGTAGTAGGTCATTCCATGTCAAATCACCCAAAAAATCTAAAAATCTTAACCCGACCATATTTGATTTTGATGAAACTTAGTGTACTTCTGACTTGTTGAGTGTGATCTCACAGCACCAAATCCCAAATTTTAGGTCAATCAGGTGAGGGGTTTGGGAGATACGGCCCACCAAATTAGTAGTAGTAGTAGTATTAGTAGTAGTAGTAGTAGAAGTAGTAGTAGTAGTAGTAAAAGTAGTAGTAGTAGAAGTAGTAAAAGTAGTAGTAGTAGTAGTAGTAGTAGTAGTAGTAGTAGTAGTAGTAGTAGTAGTAGTAGTAGTAGCACATGTAGCAGAATATATAGTTGTAGGTACAGCAGCTCTTAGTAATGGTAAGAGTGGTGAATGTATTGGTATTACATAGTGTTTATATTAAGAAGAAAATAATAGAATAATAAAATAAACAGAAGAGTAAAAACGACAAAGTATACAAAGTAACAAAGTAAGATTGATGATCTATTTAATCCTAAATCACAGTCCATCTATATCATTTGGTCATCAAATATTGTCTATAATTACGTTGGCAAGGATGAGATTTAAATCTAGAGTACTTTCAATGATTTTGGTCATAAAACCTGCTACTAAAAGTAAAAATTAGCAGTTAAATGATTCATCACTATAACAATCAGTATACCAGAACTACATAAATTAATTTGTCAAAAAGTTGTAATAAAAAATATACAATTTCAATAAAAATAACAAATTCAATAAAAATAACATTTCCAGATACAAGATGTTCATAAAACCTGTTACTAAAAGTAATAATTAGCAGTTAAACAATTCATCACTATAACAATCAGTATACCAGAACTCCATACATTAATTTGTCAACAGGTTGTAATAAAAATATACAATACAAATATCTCAATAAACATAACATTTCTAAATACATAATATTCTCTATCTATCTCCTAGTCTAAATTCAACAACAATATCGGATGTTGGTGAATGCCTTTCAATGTCTAAAAGATTAACATTATGAATATAAGTAGGGAAAAAATACCATAAATACCAACAATTTAGAAAGTGTTTGTTATTATTTAACCACTCAACCCTGTTAACATTTTTTTTACACATTAAAATAACTGTACAACGGTACATCTTCTCTATTGAAGTAATGTGATGTACATTATACTGCGTAAAATGTACGCCAACAGCATAAAATCAAATAAAGTTTGAATATTTTGTTTTTTGTACGGTGCGGCCTGCTCATTTGATATAGAGAAGGCATTTGATATAGAGAAGGCATTTGTTTCTCCAATGATAATTGTTCAAATACATTTTTCTGTTAAATAATCATTTCAGGTCTTGTTACATGGCAGTTGGTAACAAAGAATGTGATATTTTGAATATATAGAATGCAGAATGAATACAACAGGACAAAGGAATAAGATGGGAAAAGGATAATAAAGATAAAGAATAAGAAAGGAAAAGAATAAGAAAGGAAAAGAATAAGAAAGGAAAAGAACATGAAGGGAAGAGTCTTTAGGACAAAGAATGGAAGATAGAATGAGAAAAAGACAGGGGGAGAGGTCAGGTAAAGAAAATGGGGGAGAAAATGAGGAGGGGGAAGAGAGAGAAAGAGGGAGGGAGGAAAGGAGAGAGAGCGAGAGAAGAAGACAGAGAGAGAGAGAGGGAGATGGAGAGCTCAATAATCCTTATAACAACACATTACGCTAATACAATCAAGACGGTTACAGAAAACATCTTGAAAAGAAACCATGAGAAATTCATTACAACCCCTGGTAAGAACAATACTACACTTATCACATATCCAAGTACTATGTTTACATAAATGTGGAATGTTAAAGATCGCTTTTACAGAACTTTACATCATATAAATCACTAAATAGACCTGCTAAGAGTTTCATTACCGTACATGTCAAGTACCAATACATCCTTGGTCACTTCATTGTCAAGCATTCAATGTTTATTAGAACCTGTTGAAAGCTATACGCATACTTTTCCTTCCAACTGCATGTATACCCAGGCAATTTAGAGGCTAAAAGCTAGATCGAGGTGCTTTTCATACTGTTTTCATATTCACTTATGAAAAAGGATTGATTCTCGACTTTGTCTGGTGTGATAACCACCCACTCGATCCACATATCATGCTGGCTTTCATATTCATTTGCAGCAGCTAGATCACATCACATCTGATATGCACCTTTTTTTTTCAAGTGCCAATGAATTCTTGCCCAATATCTTGTTGATCAAATAAAGCCCATCCATGAGGAGATGTCCTGTCATACATTAACTTGTGCGGATAACGTTCACACTAAGTGAAATGCCCTTACAATCTGGACTAAATCCGGACTAAATCTGGACTAAATCTGGACTAAATCGGGACTCAACCCTCCCCTCGAAGTGGGTCGAGAATTCTGCATCCAGTGCGGATTGAAGTGATACTGACACCATTCACACTAGCTTTTATGTCTGAACTGAATCCCGACCAAGTCCGGACTTAACACTCCTCTCCCCCTAGTATGAAAGGGGTTTTAAAGACCACAAATCTTGGCCCTCTTGTGCGACTACAAGAGAAAAAATATTGAAATCACTACCCCTGAACTAACATGCCTGACAACCGTCAATCAGATTTGCTAATATAATATCAATCACTCTGCTCAAAGTTCTACCTGTCGTTTCCGAGTACCTATAATTATGTCATTTTTGGCAATCCACCGTTTCTTACTTGCATTTTTGTCTGCTGAGAACTGAGGGACATTAATGCATCCTTTTACAACAGCGTTAAAATGCACTTTACTCTCTCAGCACACATCATTTTGACAGAATTCCATATCAAAGAGTCACTCGGGAACAATTATAGTGTTTGATCACATGATGCTCAGGACAAGAATAAAAAACTGCTGCATATTCAATTTAAAGGCCATCTTGAAAAAACGCTACATCAATGTGACTACACTGTTGCAATAAATTTGGAATAAATTGATTTTTTTTCCTTCTTTTCAAGATTCAAGAAATGATTGCGACAATGTGATTTATTTTTGATAGATAAAGTCTTTTTCTTGTCAGAACTTAGTTGATAACCCTCTGTGAATGTTGAGATCGATCAATAAAGTTCTGACAATTTATAAGCATCATCTCTGAAGAACAAAATTCACAAGGTCATAATCATTTTATGATAAAAAGGTTTTGAACAAATATTTCAACTTTATGGGAAACATTGTGTGATGTCCCTAACTTCTGATATAAAGTGATATTCCTGGCTACTGAAAACGATTAAATAAATAATAAATAGAAATTGAAAATTAAACTTCACTACATCACAAAAAAATTCAACAACCTCCCCCCTTCTATGACAAAGTTTTTACAAAATTTCAAGGTTCTCACCTCAACACCAACTTGTAAAAATATTCCAATTAAATATTCCATTTAACTGCTTATGTAACCTAAGATATTCTTATTTAACAAAGAAAACAAAACCATTGTTGGTAGTAGAATTATGCAGATAGTATAGCACACTGTGTTTTTGAATTTGTAGACAAGATATCTTTCAGAACTTCTATTATTGCAGCCAATGAAGAAAATGGAAAATTGTGTTCTACTCTTCATAAGGACATTTGTTACGTACTTTACACAAACAAGGTTAAAATACATCACATAACGTTATATTTGTATGCATATTTTCTCCATTATGGAATAGACTAGTTTACTAACATATTCATATTTACTGGAGACCTAATGATGAGGTATTCCATTAACCTGTAATTAATCAATGTACAATATGTTCCAATACTTGGAATCCAGTAAGTAAACATTACTTGTTGCTTTGTCAGGCAAGCTTTCGTGTTGTCAAGAACGACCTTTCTTTAAAACGGTATGTATAACATTTTTAATATCTTAGTAAATCGGTCTATTGCCCCTATGGCTGACATCTCTCTTTATAGAAGTTGAAATAAAAATATATTTTCCTCTTCTACGCTAGAAGGCAAATTCATTTTCAATGCTCAAGGTTTACAGAGTGGAACTACAAGAAAATTAATTTCCCTTCTAGTTTCCCCCAAGGAGAATTCACTTGCTACATTATTGTGCCCTTAGAAGTAAGTAAGACTGGTTTGATTTTCTATGAACCCAACACAAAAATATTTCGCTGGGAGGAATCTAAAAGTATCTTGCAAGTACATCCTTGGTATTTTCATAAATACCTCATGTTGGAAAAAAATCCAACTCAAATGGATAATGTCATTAATATCACAAGATAATCAATCTGATATTTGTGAAAATGAAGATACCTGAATTGCACTTAACTTTTTTCTTACAAATGTTTAAAGACATATTAATTAAAGAGAGGAAGCAGAATAAGTAAAATCAAACTAATCGTGGTGCAAAGTGTTAAAAATATTTCAGATTAAATCATAACACTCATCAAGATATTGGCAGCATGCATTGCATAGGTAAAATGAGCCCTGGAAAACAAAATAAAACATCAATTTTATCAAATGTTTGGACAAAGGGACATGTAACAATTTCACAATTTGTGCTTTTAATCGTCTTTTTCTGCCTCTCGAGATTTGTAAGATAGGCTATCAAAATTGAAATAAAGTCAAAATCATTTTAGGAATGCATGAATTCTGCCCCTCCCCCCATCATTTCAAGTCTGCTTAGTTGAGCAATTCAATTTGAAGAAAACGCAATCTTGTCACGGTTAAAACCAATCACTTCAAGAACACTAAAGTGATGAAATGTACTCTTGTATAGAATCAGGTTTCACTTGGGAAATCATAAAGCATGAGGCACACAATACCAAATTGAAGGTTGCCCATTTGTTAAATTTCCCTCTGGTTATGTTATGGTTCATAGTCTTCAAATGATCAAGTTAGAGTACTGGCCACTGAAGACAACATGAAAAGCAATGTTTTAATTTTCCAGAGTGGGAGCTACAGGTTTGCTTGACCGTGTGTTAACCTAAACATTGTCGAAGTTACAAATTGAATTTTTTAATCTCTTATTAGAAATAGCAAACTTTTATTCAACTGTGAGCTAGTTCTGACCAATCCAACTCTCCTGGAAGCCACAAGAGTGTTAGCTTATACATTACTTAAAATAAAGTTAACTCTCGTACATGGTTCTTGATATTAAGCAGATGATATTACATGACTGATTTGCAAAATCCATAGACATCATCAGGAAAAGACAGTGACCTACGGATATAGCATGTTATGTTCAGAGTTTTAAGGCTCTCTATGAATAATTGAATTGTTAATAATAATAATAATCTTTTTTAAAAATAATAATAATAATAATCTTTTAAAGTCCACTCCAAATTTTATTAAACCGTAAATGGAAATTCTTTTTGCCCAATTGATCGTTAGCCCAGCAGCCACTGAGCAGCGCCAGATCAACGTTGCTCTATCCCTTTATTGTTGAACTCCAAACAAGGTAGCAGCAACTCCTGTCTTTTAACATCTTTTGGTATGACGGGGCTTGGGTTCGAACCCACGACCTCCCGATTGTGAGGCGGATGCTCTACTGACTGAGCCAGCACACCGTTATCTGTATCTGTAACTGTATCTTAATGGGTATTTCTACCAGCAGTTTGTTGAGCACAATGTGAAATTACAATTACAGTATGACACACAATGAGGTAACAATTTATCCGCAGTCAATTTCACATACTAGTTGAATTCCTACCTCCACCCCAGGACCCAACCCTGCACCTAAACCTAATCCTAAAATAACACCAAACCACATCCCTAACCCTAAGCTTACATCTTTAACAAAATATAGCCCTGAAGAAATGTCACCAGGGCCTATGTTCGATCATAATAAAATATCCTTATCACAAATTTGGCATGTCTTTATTTACATGTTAATGTATAGAATAAGGAATGTAAATGTATATAAACTTCTTTTGAAAATACTTGAAATGAGGTCTGCCAATGAAGTGTTTAATCATGATTACCTTCATACCCAATTCTAAATTACACCATAAACAAATACACCTATCCCTCTAGTAATGTCATATAATATTATAATATAACGTATTGGTGGAGAGTTAGACCCCGTTCTCACTCACTTCGTTGGAGCGCTCTGGAGCGCTCTAACTAAGACCCGCTCCTCAGGAGCGGTTCTTAGGTGAGTGAGAACGCTCAAAGTGGTCCAGGAAGCGGACTTCTGGACCGCTCCAGAAGTCCACCTTCCGAGGTGGTCTTGAGGAGCGGGTCTTATTAAGAGCGCTCCAGAGCACTCTAATGTGCAATGTGAAC